TAGGAGTGGTGAGAGTGGGGTGTTTTTTTTTTTTTTTGCCTTATTCCAGTTATTAAAGGGAATGGTTCTAGATTTTCCCCATTTAGAAGTGTGTTGGCTGTGGGCTTTTCATAGATTTTTTTTGTTTGTGTTTTTTTTTTTAGATGGAGTTTCGCTCATGTTACCCAGGCTGGAGTGCAATGGTGCGATCTTGGCTCACCGCAACCTCCGCCTCCTGGGTTTAGGCAATTCTCCTGCCTCAGCCTCCTGAGTAGCTGGGATTACAGGCACAAGCCGCCATACCCAGCTAATTTTTTTTTTTTTTTTGTATTTTTAGTAGAGACGGGGTTTCACCATGTCGACCAGGATGGTCTTGATCTCTTGACCTCGTGATCCACCTGCCTTGGCCTCCCAAAGTGCTGGGATTACAGGTGTGAGCCACCACACCCGGCCCAGATGGTTGTTATTATTTTTAGATATATTATTTGGATGCCTAGTCTGTTGAAGGTTTTTCATCATGAAGGCATTTTTCTGCTAAACCTTTGGCTAACTTTCTTAAAATGATTTAACAAGTAAGCAGATATTATCCTTTGTCCCTCCAGAAAATCAACAAGCAAAATGCCTTGAGCATTCCAAAAAACTGTGGCCATGACCTCTGCTCTTGGCTGCTCTGATTTTGCTTTAACTGGATCCCTTCTGCCTCTTGGTAGCTGCTGCCTAGATTGTGCTTTGTCTTCAGGGTTGTACTGGTAAAGCTGCGTTTCACCTCCTTTTACAGTTCTTCAAAGACATGCTCAGGATCTTGATCCACTTGTTTGACATTTCCATTGAAAGCTCTGCTCTTGTCTATGGCAGATCTGGATGCAGTGGTTTTGGTACCCACTGAGTGGAAAATTGCTCAGCTTTAATTTTTCAGTGAGAATTGTATAAGCTGAACCAACTGATATGCTCATCATGGTGTTTCTGCTGTTAACCATTCATCCTCATCGATTAAGGCACAAGCAAGATTAATTTTTTTCTTGTGTATTTATGTGGATGGGCTGCTGCTGCAGTCTTCATCTTTAACATCATCTTGGGCCTTCTTAAAATTAGTTATGCATTTGCCACCTGCTGATTTACTTGGGGGCATTGTCCGCATAAACTTTTTGTAAAGCATCACTGATTTCACCATTCTTTTGCCCAATCTTCCCCATAAATTCAATGTTTGTTCTTGTTTCCATTTTAGCAGAATTCATGGTGCTCTGATAGGGGCTCTTTTCAAATTGATGTCCTATTCTTCTTAATACCTCAAACTAGATCCTGTTCAGACATGTTATAACAAGTGTGAGTCTACTTCAGTGCAAAAAAACTTTGAAATTCATACATAGTTTTATTATAATACACATTTTCTATGGCCATTTTAAAGACCCCATGTATGTCTTAAGTAGAACAAATACATCATTGCCTCTGCTTGCTCTCTCACATACGTGCAACTATGCATTGCTCAGGCCCTGTATATTATGGGGAAATTTAAATTGCTACTATGTTTATAATATTTCTTATTTAGTTATTGAGGACATCTCTTCATTGAATCATGTCAGTTTTTCTCTCATTTAGGCTTTGTAAATTTTTTTTGCATACATCTGTCCTTGTATATGGCAAACGGGGTCTGGATAAGGTAAGTACTTTGTAAAAGTGTACATAGTTAAGGATTAAAGAAGGTCTAGAATTTAAGCTTGCTTTCTTTTCTTGATCCAGTTTTTTCCAGTACATCCCATGGCTATATATATATATATATATGTTGTGCGTGTGTGTGTGTGTGTGTGTGTGTGTGTCTTAACTTGAGCTGTTATAACAAAGTACCATAGATTGGGTGGCTTAAACAACAAACATTTATTCTCACAGTTCTGGAGGCTGGCAAGTATAAGATCAAGGTGCCAGAAGACTGGGTGTCCAGTGAGGACCACTTCCTGGTTCATAGATGATGGCTTCTTACTGTTTCTTCACACGGTGGAAAGAGGACTAGAAAGCTCTCAGAGATCTCTTGTAAGAGCACAAATGCCATACATGAGGGCTGCACTCTCATGCCTTAATTACTCTCAGAGCGCCTCCCACCTAATATAATCCCAGTGAGGATTATTTCACATATCAATTTTGTGAAACACAAACATTCATTCCATAACAGTGTTACAATATATAACTTGAATATGTAACTTATTAGTAAATAACAGATATACACATATAAATATGTAACATATTAACAAATAAGAGGTATACATATTTAAATGTAAACATAAATATTTCTGAGGGCTTATTCTTATTAGTTTTAGAAATAAACTTGATTTATTTTAAATGATTTGGTTAAAAACATATCTTTTTTACATTTTGGAGAAGGAAATCACATAAAGTAATGAAACTGCCATTAAACATTTGAAATAATTCTGCTGTGACTTATTGCTAGTAAATACCCTTTTGAAATTGTTTAGTAACTTCCCTTATTTCTTTTATAATGTTAATATATATTTACTTATATTCATTTTACTTTTATATTGTAGTTTTCTACTATATTTTTAATTGCTATTCTTAAATATTTAAAAAATTTCTATAGGTTCTGGGGGAACCAGTGGTATTTCGTTACGTGAGTAAGTTCTTTCGTGGTGATTTGTGACATTTTGGCACACTCATCACCTGAGCAGTATACACCTAACCCAATTTGTAGTATATTATCCCTCCCCCCTTCCCCACTTTCTCCCCAAATTCCAAAGTCCATTGTATCATTCTTATGCCTGTGCACCCTCATAGCTTAGATAAAACTTATGGGTGAGAGCATACAATGTTTAGTTTTTCATTCCTGAGTAACTTATAATAAGAGTTTCCAATCCCATCCAGGTTGCTGCGAGTGCTGTTAATTCATTCCTTTTTACGGTTGAGTAGTATTCCATCCTATATATATACACCACAGTTTCTTTATCCACTTATTCATTGATAGACATTCGGGCTGGTTTCACGTTTTTGCAGTTGCAAATTGTGCTACTATAAACATGCATGTGCAACTATCTTTTTCATATAATGACTTCTTTTCCTTGGGGTAGATAAATGGATCAAATAGTAGCTCTACTTTTAGTTCTTTAAGGAACTGTGAGTCTGGGATGTGTTTCCATTTGTTTTTGTCATTTCTGATTTCTTTCAGCAGTGTTTTGTAGTTTTCCTTGTAGAGGTCTTTCACCTCCTTGGTTAGGTATAGTCCTAAGTTTGTTTGTTTGTTTGTTTTGTTTGTTTTGTTCAGCTCTTGTAAAGAGGTGGAGTTCTTGATTTGATTCCCAACTTGGTTGCTGTTGGTGTATCAGAGCTACTCATTTGTATACATTAATTGTGTATCCTGAAACTTTGCTGAATTCATTTATCAGTTCTGGTTTTTTGGATGAGTCTTTAGGGTTTTCCAGGTATGCAATCTTATCAGCAAACAGCAACAGTTTGACTTCCTCTTTATTGATTTGGATGCCCTTTATTTCTTCCTCTTGTCTGATTGCTCTGGCTAGGACTTCCAATGCTATGTTGAATAGAAGTGGTGAGAGTGAGTATTCTTACTTGTTCCAGTTCTCAGAGGGAATGTTTTCAACTTTTCCCCATTCAGTATTATGTTGGCTGTGGATTTGTCATAGATGGCTTTTATTACATTGAGGTATATCCCTTGAATGCTGATTTTGATGAAGGTTTTAATTGTAATGTAATGCTGGATTTTCTCGAATGCTTTTTCTGTGTCTATTGAGATGATTATGTGACTTTTGTTTTCAATTCTGTTTATGTGGTGTAACACATTTATTAACTTGCATATGTTAAAGCATCTCTGCATCTTTGGTATGAAACCTACTTGATCATAATGGATTATCCTTCTGATATGCTCTTGGATTCAGTTAGCTAGTATTTTTTTTTTTAAGGATTTTTCATCCATGTTCATCAGGATGTAGTTTTTTGTGTTAGGTCCTTTCCTTTGATATTATAGTGATGCTGGCTTCATAGAATGATTTAGGGAGGATTCACTCTTTCTCTATCACATGGAATAGCATCAATAGGATTGGTACCAATTCTTCTCTGAATGTCTGATAGAATTCATCTGTGAATCCATCTAGTCCTGGACTTTTTTTTGTGTTGGTAACTTTTTTGTTATTTCAGTCTCACTGCTTGTTATTGATCTGTTCAGGGTTTCTAATTCTTCCTGATTTAAGCTAGGGAGATTTTATCTTTCCAGGAATTTATCCATCTTCTCTAGTTTTCTAGTTTATGTGCATAAAGGTTCGTAGTAACCTTGAATGATCTTTTGTATTTCTGTGGTGTTGGTTGTAATATCTCCTGTTTCATTTCTAATTGAACTTACTTGGATCTTCTCTCTTCTTTTCTTGTTTAATCTTGCTAATGGTCTATCAATTTTATCTTTTCAAAGAACCAACTTCTTTGTTTCATTTATCTTTTGTATTTGTTTTCTTTCAATTTCATTTAGGTCTGTTCTGATCTCCATTATTTTTTTTCTGCTGGGTTTGGGTTTGGTTTGTTCTTATTTCACTAGTTTCTTGAGGTGTGACCTTAGATTGTCTATCTGTGCTTTTTCAGACTTTTTAATGTAGGTATTTAAGGGTATGGACTCTCCTCTTAGAACCACCTTTGCTGTTTCCCAGAGGTTTGGATAGGTTGTGTCACTGTTATTCAGTTCAAATAATTTTTAAATTTTATTGTTGAGCCAATGATCATTCAGAAGCAGGTTATTGAATTTCCATGTATTTGAATGGTTTTGAAGGTTCCTTTTGAAATTGATTTCCAATTTTATTCTACTGTGGTCTGAGAGAGTACTTGATATAATTTCAGTTTTCTTAAATTTATTAAGACTTGTTTTGTGGCCTATCATATGGTCCATCTTGGAGAAAGTTCCATGCACTGTATACTCTGCAGTTGTTGGGTAGAATGTTATGCAAATATATGTTAAGTCCATTTGTTCTAAGGTATAGTTAAATCCATTGTTTCTTTGTTGACTTTCTTTTTTTTTTTTCTTCATTGATGACAATTTATTATAATCTGTTAGTAGCACACAGACAAATATTAATTAAACCAGAACTATGTCTACACAGAAGTGGGCAATGACATGTGCCATTCTATGGAGGACTGTGTGCACTTAATCATCATGTTTTAGTATTTTGATCTTCTGCTTATGCTGCTCAGTTTCTTTCTGCAGATGCTCAATCTCCTTCTTATGATGAATGAGCTCATCTTCATGGTGTTTTTTCAAAGCTGCCAGTTGTTCTCTAGTCTGTGCTCAGAAATATCATTCCTCTTCAGCCTTCTCTCTCTTTCCAAAGGCCCCACCGGCTTCCCGGATGGAGCCCGTGCCCCGATGGAGATTCTCAGACTGATCCGAGCCGAAGCTTCGGGCTCGCATGGTCTTCACGCCCCAAACGCCAAGCCACGTCCTTGCCGCCAACGCCGTAACTGCCATTGCTGCTGGAGCTGCACCTCTCTTTGTTGACTTTCTGTCTTAATGACTGTCTAGTGCTGTCAGTGGAGTACTGAAGTCCCCCACTATTACTGTGTTGCTGTCTATCTCATTTCTTAGGTCTAGTAGTCATTGTTCTATAAATTTGGGAGCTCCAGTGTTAGGTGCATATATATTTAGGATTGTGATATTTTCCTGTTGCACAAGGCCTCTTATCATTATATAATGTCCTTCTTTGTCTTTAATTGCTTTTGCTTTAAAGCTTGTTTTGCCTGATATAAGAATAGCTACTCCTGCTCACTGTTGGCGTTATTTGCATAGAATGTCTTTCCCACCCCCTTACCTTAAGTTTATGTGAGTACTTATGTGTCTCTTGAAGGCAACAGAGAGTTGGTGAATTCTTATCCATTCTGCAATTCTGTGTCTTTAAGTGAAGCGTTTAGGCCATTTACATACAATGTTAGTATGTGAGGTATTATTCCATTTATCATGCTTCAGTTTGTTACCTGTATAACTTGTTTTTTTAAGTTGTATTTTTGTTTTATAGGTCCCGTGGGATTTATGTTTTAAAGAGCTTCTGTTTTGATGTGTTTCCAGGACTTGTTTCAAGATTGAGAGCTTTTTTGGGGGATCGGGGGTTGGCAGTTCATGTAGTACTGGCTTTGTAGTGGTAAATTCTCTCAGCATTTGTTTGTCTGAAAAAGACTGTGTCTTTCTTTTATTTATGAGGCTTAGTTTCACTGGATACAAAATTCCTGGCTGTTAATTGTTTTGAGGAGGCTGAATATAGAGCCCGAATCATTTCTATGGATTCCAGTGTTTCTGCTGAGAAATCTGCTGTTAACCTGATAAGTTTTTATTTATAGGTTACCTGGTGTTCTGCCTCACAGCTCTTAACATTCTTTCCTTCATCTTGACTTTAGATAACCTGACAACGATATGCTTAGGCAATGATCTTTTTGTGATGAATTGCCCAAGTGGTCTTTGAGTTTCTTGTATTTGGATGTCTAAGTCTCTAGCAAGGCTGGGGAAGTTTTCCTCAATTATTCTCCCAAATATGTTTTCCAAACTTCTAGATTTCTCTTCTTAGGAATGCCAATTATTCTTAGGTTTGGTCATTTAACATAATTCCAAACTTCTTGGAGGATTTGTTCAGTTTTTCGTATAATTTTTTTCCTTTGTCTTTGTTGAAATGGGTTAATTTGAAAACCTTGTCTTTGAGCTCTGTAGTTCTTTCTTCTGCTTGTTTGATTCTGTTGCTGAGACTTTCCAGAACATGTTGCATTTCTCACATGCATCCTCTATTCCCTGAAGTTGTCATTGTTTGTTGCTTATGCTATCTATTTCACTGAAGATTTCTTCCCTCACATCTTCTATCATTCTTCTGATTTCCTTAAATTGGACTTTACCTTTCTCTGGTGCCTCATTGGTTAGCTTAATCGACCTTCTGAATTCTCTTTCCGGTAAATCAGGGGGATTTCTTCTTGGTTTGAATCCAAATTCACTAGTGCTGGTGCTCTAGTGTAATTCTGGAGAAATGTTAAAGAATCTTGTTTTGTCCTATTACCAGAATTGTTTTTTTCTCATTCCTTCTCATTTTGGTAAGCTATGTCCAAGGAAAGATCTGGGGCTCAAGGCTGCTGTTCAGATTCATTTGTTCCACAGGGAGCTCCCTTGATGTAGTGCTGTCCCCCTTTTCCCAGGGACGTGACTTTCTGAGAGCTGAACTGTAGTAATTGTTATTTCTCTTCTGGATCTAGCTACCCAGTAGGGCTGCCAGGCTCTGGGCTGGTACTGGAGGTTATCTACGGTGTCCTGTGATGTGAACCATCTTCAGGTCTCTCAGCCATGGATACCAGCGCCTGCTCTGGTGGAAGTGACAAGAGAGTGGAATGGACTCTGTGAGGGTCCTTGGTTTTGGTTGTTCAATGCACTGGTTTTGTGCTGGTTGGCCTTTGCCAGGAGGTGGCACTTTCAAGAGAGCATCAGCTATGATAGTACAGGGAAGGTTAGGTGGTGGGTGGGGCCCTAGAATTCCCAGGAGAATATGCTCTTTGTCTTCAGCTACCAGGCTGGGTAGAGAGGGACCATGAGGTGGTGGCAGAGTTAGGCGTGTCTGAGCTCAGACTCTCCCTGGGCGCGTGGCTTGCTGTGGCTGCTGTAGGGGATAGAGGTGTGGTTCTTGGATCAATGGAGTTATGTTCCCAGGAGGATTATGGCTGCCTCTGCTGTGTCATGCAGGTTGTCAGGGAAGTGGGGGAAAGCCAGCAGTTACAGGCCTTCCCAGCTCCCACACAACCCAAAAGGCTGGTCTCATTCCTACTGTGCCCTCTCCAGTAGCACTGAGTTTGTTTCCATGCTATGGGCAAACAGAGCTGAGAACTTGCTTTGGGCTATCAGCCTCCCAGCTGAGAAAGCAAGCAGAGCTTTCATGCCTCCCTGCCTGTAAGTCTGCACACCCGTTTCACTCCCTCCCCCGCAAGTTCTGGCCAGGAGACTTTGTGTTTGGTTGGGATTGTTAGAGTTCAGCTGGAGGTTTCCTTCTTCCTGTGGCCTTTTCCCAGTTCCTCTGGTAGCCCTCCTCTCAAAGACCCTTGTGAGAGAAGTCAGAAGTGGCTTTCCTGTGGACCCAGAGAACCCACAGGGCTTTTCCCACTGCTTCCTGGATTTCACTCAGCTCTCTAAATTGAATCAATTGCAGATAAGGTCAAATCCTTCTGTGATCTATACCTTTGGGTTCCCCAGTTAAGGTGTAGGTTTGGGGGTGGATGGATCCCCCTTGCCTACTTTTACAATTTGGGCATTTACAGTTTTTGGCTGTCTCCCCAGGTCCTGCAGAAGCGATCTGCTTCCTTCAGAGGGTCTATGGATTCTCTCGGCTTTCCTGGTATATTCCTGCAGTCATTCTGGAGCAAAAGTGCATGATGCAAGTCTCCACATGCTACTCTGTTCATTTAAGTGGGAGCTGTAATTTAGTCCTGCCTTGTAGCTGCCATTTTTCCTCTATGTGTCGTTTTCTACTTCTACTTAATACTTTCTAAACATATAACTGAATACTAGTTTCAGATATTAAAAGTATATTATTGTGTTTTCTTAATTTTATGATTAAGCATTTGGATGATCTATTCATTTTGTAAGAGAGATATTTGCTTTTTCAAAATCAACTTTTTGATTTTTCATTTTATTTTAGTTTCCCCTAACTTAGCTTGTTTTGGTGCTTTATCATAACACTTCTGTTACGATAGAGAACAGTTTGATATTAGTGTTCTAGAACTAAGGGATTGATTGTATTCCTTGAAATTTGGCTTGGATTTCTTTGTTTCACTTGAGAGTGTTTGGGGGCCTAAAGGTGTTACTCAGCGTTCATTGTGATGTGTCTGGATGATATGATTATGATTAATCTTATGTCTGTGTGAGGCTTACTCTGAAGTGTTATCCTCTCCCTGGCAGAAGCCTGTGGGTCAGGGCTTACCTCTGGAGGCCACTGCTCGAATGAGTCCCAGCCCCTGAACTATGGTCAAGTGACCTTGGACAAGACCCTGAACTTCTTTAGACCTTGCTCCCATTCTCAGTGTGATGGGGGCCCCAGTGGTACCCTGGCAAAGTTTGGCTCTCAGGAGGTAATCCAGGAGGTGTGTGTGCAGTACAACGCTCAGAGTGAGTGCTCAGCTGTTGGCTGTACTGGTGATGGCACTGCTGTGGCTGCTCTTAGGGCTGTGGCTCTAAAAGAGAAGCAAAAGAGCTCGCTGTGCTTTGAGTACAATCCAGATGCACAAGCAGACAGACACATAGCAGATGCGGAGGTCACTGGCCCTTGAGAATCATAAAAAGAGGGCTACCAGAACATAGAGAATCATGAAGCTTAACCATGGTGTGACTCCCCACAACTGAGAAAGACAACCTAGAAGTGGTGCTGTTTGGGCTGGTTCCTGAAGAGGCAGTAGGAGTTTTCAGTTAAAGGTAATTTTCTTACATTAATTTGCTCTTAAATGTTCAGGGCACGAGGGATGAGCTTACATACAAACTCAGAATGGAGAAAAGCAACGTAGACTGAAAAGATCTGATCTCTGTGGGGCTGCCAGGTGGAATCAGGTGACCTGGGAAGGAACAGATTGCTCTACTTTGTTTTTCAATCCAATCAGTGAACTTCCTTTCTCATAGAGGAGTTTAGCTTCTTCACTCATATATAATTGAGTGCATGATGCATGTGTATTTCTGTTGCTTTTCAAGGTTGTCTTTATTCTTGTATGTGTCTGTGCTTACATATTTTTGGGTGGGTTTTTTCTTAGTATTAGGTTAAAAGATGATCTTAGTTTTACTTGTTTTACTTGTTTTCTGGTAAATATTAGTTTCTCATCTCTATGCAGTGCATGTTCCAAGTAATTTTTCTTGCTCACTTTTTCCCTTTGAGGGGTGATATAGAACCTAATTTTAGAAAATAACATTTCTCACTTTTACTTAATCCTTGCTGAGAACTTTTCTAGGAAATTTTTTATGTTATCATTGTATCATAGCGGATTCCTATTAGATTTTCTTTACAGTGTTAAAGCACACTAGCTCCTTAAATCTGTGCACATCTTTCTTTCTTTGGTTAGCAGTCCTCATTTCTCTGTGGTTTCTTATAGAGAATGTAGCCCTGGGGATTTATTTCCATTGTGCTTCAGAGCTTTGGTTTTTGCTGTGTCATGTTTTAGAGAGAACATTGGACTAGAAGTCTGGAGATCTGGTTTCTGGTTTTAGCTCTGCCATAAACAGTAAAAATATACCTCCCAATGGTTGCTTTCACATCGGACAGTTCAAAAGAGCTGTGAGTTATCAGTCAAGCCAGTGGGACTTCTCTGGTGTCCTCTTTATTAACCTGGAATGCCAGGGGATTGGAATCCACCAGGGTTTTCTGAAGCACCTTCTCTGGAGCCCTGATTTCATGGGCTGTTAGTACATGTTCCGTGAAAAAAGGTTCTGTGTCAGTTAACTGGGATATCCTAGAACTTCTTAAAGACTTTAGTTTTTCTCCATGGT